CTTTTTTTAATTATAAATTTAAATTCTGTATTTGTTTTTTTTTTTTTTTTTATACAATTTAAAATTATAATATGTTTCATATCTATGAAAAAATGAAATTGTACAATGGGGATTGGGTGGGTTTAATTTATTTTTACAAAAAATTAAATAATAATTATCATAATATTTTAACCCACTTACCAAGAGTTAATTCAAAACACAGTTGGTGTGGTAGTGTGTTAAAAAGAGAAATAATTTAATTTTACTAAAAAATTTTAAAAAATAATTATTTGCTGATACAATTAACTACAACTATTTTTATCACTTTGATAAACATCAATAGTTTTTATCTTTAATTAGATTTTTTTTAAAAATTTCGAAACACACCAATTTAAATTCACTAGCGTGTTGTTATATAAATAAACATATGTAGTGCTTAATAAAAATAAAATTTTCCAAAAGTAAAAACATTTTTTATAATTACCAAAAATTAAAAGTTACCACACACTCCTTACATCTATTTAATAAATTTTTATATGATTTAACTAAAAATTTCATAAAAAATATCACCTCACCACTGACCATCGAATTTTTAAATAGGAAACTTCATTTAAATCATTTAAAATAATAATTTTATTTAATATTTATGATTGTTTATCCACCAATTATATATATAAAAATAAAAAAAATTAAAAGTTAACACACCCATTTTTTTTTTTAAAAAAGGATATGTATCTAGATACTTTGTAAGTTGCAAAGTATCTAGATAACCAAAATTTCCTTTTTTATAAATATAAAAATGATATGATTATAATTATTGTTTGATTTAAATATAGTTGATTGCAATAAAAATAAGCTTTTTTTTTTATTTTTTTTTTATTTTTTTATTTTTTTTATTTTTTAAAATTTAATAAATAAATTTATTTACAGTTAATTACTTTACATAATAAATAATATTATAAAAACAACATTAGATTTGATTTGATTTGATGATTATTTTTTTTAATTTTTTTTAATTTTTTTTATGGGATCATTTCTTTAATTTTTTTAAGTGATTGGGTCACAGAGACGATCAATTGAGGTTCTGAATGGTTTGGAATAAGTTGATATAAAACACCAAATAAAATATCATAGTCATCAATTGACAGTGCTACTAAATCTTTTAATTGCTCTAATTTTTCATTACCTGAAAAAGTTTTACCCGAGGTTGTATTTTGGGGAAGTGGTGGTATTGGGTAAGTTGGTGGAATCAATGCTCTTAATTTTTCGATTTCCTATAATAATAAACAATTATTGTAATTAGTATTTTAATATTTTAAAGGTGTTTTAATTACATACCGGTTTAAGTTGCTTAAAAATGTTTGCAATACCAACACCTTCTTGAATTGAAACACATCTTAAAACTTGATTTTTAATTTTACCGATCTTTGGTCTAATTTCACCTCTGATAGTGGATATAACCCAGTTTTTAAGTGCAATGGTTTTGGTAATAACATCTTGATCAAGTTGTTGTTTTTGTTGTTGTGGTGAATCAATTGGATTGGCACCATTTGGTATTTTACTGGAATCTACAACAGAGTATTGTGGTGGTTGTTTTGGAGCTGTACTATTTAATGGAGTGGCTGATGTGTTTGTTGAAGGTGTGTGTTTTGGAATCTTTGAAATCTCTGGTAGTGAATAGCCTGAAAGTGCCATTCTCTTTTCAAGATACTCCATTAATTGATCATTACCCACTTTGTATTTCTTTATAATCTCTTCAGATTGAATTGGGTTACCTTCAATATTAATACCGGCACCTAGTTTTCCAAGACCTGGTATATTACCAATTGATAGTGGTAAATCAGTCAATTTATTATCCATAAGATTTAAAATAGTCAATCTAGTTAATCTTCCAATCTGGTTTGGTAATTCTACTAACTTTTTAATTAAATATATTAGTATATCAAAGGTTTTATATCTTTTATATGTAAACTATTTACCTTATTATTACCAAAATTAACTTCTAATAGTTTTGTCATTGTTGAAAAATCTTCGGGTAGTTTAACCAATTGGCAACCACCTGCATCTAAAATTTCTAACTGGGTTAAGCTTGAAAAGTTTGGTGGTAGTTTAGTTAATGGATTGCCTGAAATAATCAATTCTTCAAGTTTTGGTAAATTTGCAATTTCTGGGCATAACTCTGAAATTCTATTATTAGCAATTTCTAATTTTTCTAATGATACTAATTTACAAACCTCAGCCTGAAAATAATAAAAATATAAAAATGGTTAGATAGGTTTATTATTTTAATATAATTAACATATAGTGTTACTTACTGGTAATGAAATTAAATGGTTACCATTAATTGATAAAACTTTTAAAGTTGGTAAATCTAATGCTTCACCTGGTACAGTAAGAATGAAATTACCATTTAATGTTAGCTGGGTTAGTTTTTTAAATGAACTTAATGAAGGAAACATTTTAAATTGATTAAAACCTAAATCTAAATTATCGCAATGTGCTACATGTTCAAAAAGGAAATCTGGGAATTGTTCTAAACCAATAGCTGATAAATCGAAAATATCATTTTCATTTTCATATTTTGTAACTCTATTTAAAATAACAAAGGTTGTTAGAGATGATAAGTTTTCGATATATTTTTTTTTTTAAACTATTATTACCTATTATTAACTTCGGTTAACATATGAGTTGGAATTTTATCTTTAACAATATTCGAAGATTTAACTACTCTTGCTTTGATGCATATTTCTCCTTTGACAAAATCATCTTTATTTTGACGTGCTTGTAGAGGATACCAGGTGGCTGTATCATCTAATGAATTGATATCGATAAAACATTCACCCATAAAATCATCTGATGAAAATTGATCCCAATCTTGTAATAAAACATGTAATTTCTCATCCAATGGAGATAATCTCATTAAAAATGTTTCTCCCCATTTTGGATTTAATGATTTCTTTATTATTTTAGTTTTCTTTTTTTGTTGCCCAATTGAAAGTGTACAGTAACTTTATATAATAATAAAAAAAATGATTAGTATTTCCTAAGGCCCAACCCTATAAAAAATTAATAAAATTTTACTTACCTATCTGAAAAACCATTTGAATCACATGCTACTAGATCTCTTCCCTCAATAACTAAATTTTATTGTTTTTGCAATAATTTTTTTTATTTTTTTTTTTTATTTTGTTTTATTTAAATTTATTTAATTTTATTTTGAATAAAATTAGTATCTAGATACTATATATAATTGTAATGCTATATTATTATAATATAGTTGAATCATTATTATTTATAATTACCATTAACTTGTAATATATTCATTGTTTCGGAGACACCGTATTAACTATAATGTGATTGTTGTAACAATATTAATATGAATTTATTTCGATGGGTACAAAAATAAACTTTAAAAAATTTAAAAATTTTTTTTAATATATTTAAAAAAATTTTTTTTAAAAAAAAAAAAAAAAATTAAAAATAAAAAAAAAAAAATAAGGTTGGAATCAGTTATGGTATTTTAATTAAAATGAATATAAACAAAAAACAAAAAACAAAACCAATAATAAAACATAAACATTAATATTAAAAAAACAATAAAAAAAAAATTAAAAAAAAAAAAATTAAAAAAAAAAAACACCAATTACATCTTAAATCTGATTTTTGAAGTGAGTGAGTGTGGTTAATTTTTTAATATTGTGTGGATATATTTTATTTACATTAATAATATAATTAAATTAATATTATATTATATTATTATTTATTTATTGTTTATTATTTATTTATTATTTATTAAAATTATTTATTTTTTATGAAATAAATGCTCTTTTTAATTCGTCAAATTTAAACTCATCACCAGTACGAGGGTCAATTATTTTTCCTTGTTTCTCTCTCATTTCCACTAAAGAATTTTTAGAATAAACATTGCCATTTGGTAATACCATTGGATAATTTTCATCGTTCATTATTTCACCAGAGATTCTACAAACTAAACTTGAATGACTTTGAAGAGATACAGGTAAGGAAATTGCCAATTTTCTCCAAGCTTCATCGCATAGTGGGCATTGAATATTTGCTGAATTATGGTCTCCACATAATGATGTTTTTAATACAGATAAACCAGATTGCAAAGAAATATCCAACAAAGAACGTGTCGATAATGAGTGAAGTTGGAAATTTTCAGTTTTAAATTGATTAACCAGATCTGACCATCTTTGAGAATCTAATAATCTTCTATAACGTTCACATTTTGTATCCTTACCAAATATTAATGTTGCCATTGCTTGTTGAATTTCTTTCAAATTTGTTGAGGAGTGACCTGATAAATGAGTTTTTGCATAGTTTATTGCTTCGATAGTTTTATTCTTTTTAACTAATTCTATAAACTCTTGAATTCTAATATTAAATTCGAAAGTGCTATTGATTTTTTTTAATTTTGATTTATTTTCATTACACCAATTTAATGCTTCTGTACAATCAAATTTATTTAAACCCTCAACAACTCTTTTAGATGATAAAAATATTTCTATATCAATTAAATCCTATAAAAAAGCATAATAAAATAGTTATTAGTATTTTAAAAATATATATTATATTATAATTTAAATAACTTACCTTTAAATTTAATTGATTTGTTAGATCGATCGCGGTGTCGTAGTAACTTTGTCTTAATAAATAATCTATTATAATTCTATTAACCCTAGTCTCGTTATATCTTTCTCTATATGATTTTAAATTTTGATTATTTGTAGCTTGAGATAAATGATTAATTCTAGACTTTAATTTTTTAATTTGTAATTCTTCTTCACTCTTGGCATCTTCCATTGATCTTTTTAATTTTTGAACTCTAACTAATAATTTATCAATTGTCTTTATCGCATCATTACCAGTAATTGTTTCTCTTTTCTTATTTAATTCTGTTATTTGTGTAAGTACATTATTCATCTCTTTTTCTAAATTTTTTTGTGACCCTCTAAATGTTTTGTTTAAGCATTCTACTGGCACTTTTAGAAAAGATCTCTCTAATTGTACTTCTGCACCTATATCCTTATTTGACATGCTAATTTTTATCTATTTAATTTATTACTATGGTTTATCTTTGTATGTGTATCTATTTGTTATAAAATTTTAATTTGAAAAATTATAAAAAAAAAATAAATTAAAAAAAAAATTTATTTTTTAATTTTTTTAATTTTTTTTATAATAATTAAAAAAATTAAAAAATTAAAAAAGGGAATTTATTGTTATTATAAAGGTTTAATTTTATTTATTCATATGATAAAACGTTTATTATATATGATGCGAAAGGAACTAAAGTTCTTATTAGTGTGGTTGAAAAATATTCATATTCTACGATTGGAGATAAAAAGTTATCACATTCATTAAAGAATTCTTCGTATGGAGAATAAAGATTTGGTTTCTTTTTTAATTCACGGATATTGTCTGAGATTTGATTTAATAAACCTTCATGTTCTTTTGACTTTTCACCTTTTTGAATTAAAACTCTTTGTAAATATAATACACATGATCTTGCTGCCAAATGAGTTTGAACCATAATAGTCTTTGGTTTATTACTTGCAAAAAATGCTGAAATTTTATTAATAGTTGTTCCATAAAAAGTAGAAATCCAATCTTGTACATGTTCAATCTAAAAATAAAAATTAAATAAATGTTAATATCATTAAATTTAATTATAATATTATTATTATTATTATTATTATTATTATTATTATTATTATTATTATTATTATTATTATTATTATTATTATTATTATTATTATTAATTTTACTTACTTTATTCAATAAATGTTTGTTTCCTTTTATTACAACTGATGGGTGTGATAAAACTTTAATAACCAATAACCAAGTTAACCATAATTCATATTCATGGTTATTCCTAAATGTAATATTTGTAATGTTGTCAAGGAAATCTGATAAATTTAATCTATCACTACGTTGAGTCTGAATAACAACTATAAAGAGAAGAAGATGACAGTTTTCTTGAATACATTTCTTTATAAGAATTGAAGGGTTTTCGTCAGTATTTGGTAATACTAAATATTTATCTACCATTAAAGTCATTTGGTTATTTAAGCTATATTCAGCAGAGTCGGGAGCATCTGAATAGAATGACCTTAAAATATTCTCGACCACATTACAATAGTTTGATAATGAGCTACCAAGAGCCAAATGGGAAGCAGACATAATTTGCAGGCAAAGGTTCTTTGAACATGAGGAACAGAATTGAAGAATTAGAGCAGATATTTTATTATAAAGCTCTTTATTTGCACGATTATCAACAAGACCACTGGCTTCAAAAATAGCAAATTGAATGTTTGATTTCATTGGATATGAAACATCATCTAAACATGAGAGCATAACTTTAATAACTGATTTCATTCTTTGTTGAGGTCCAGAAATTTCTGTGGGCGAGTTCTTTAATACTTGGTTATCGGCTAATGAACGAATTAATGGCAGAAGAATGTTCTTCAATAGGGATTCTTGCTCGTTATAACTTAAAAACCAATAATTACGTGGTGTTTGAATGACCAAGTAAATTAAACTTCTAATCTCCAATGTTAAAGCGGTGGCTAACGAATAATTATCTAAAAACAATGTGATGTCTTTGAAATGATTTAAACACGACATTATATGGGCGTTTGGTTGTTTTGTTTTTGACTGCATTAAAGATGATCTTGTTAAAAGTTTGACAAATGCAGATCCATCAAATATTAAACTAGCTTCAGAGAGATCACCACACTTATACCAATCTAAATTTCCCTCGGTAGCTAAATTTAATCTAAATTCTGGTGATGTTATTTGGGTTCCATTTACGATTGAAATATACATACAAAGCTTTAAATAGTTTAATGCGGTTCTATTTGGAATTTTAGCCTGTTTAAATAGTAAGCTCCAATCTAATATTGAGAATAAAATTACCACAATATTGCCAAAGATGGTTTCTGAGATAATATAATTCATTTGATCAAGAGTTTCACTTGAAATAATATGGAACACAGCACTTGATAAACGAGAGTCAATAGCTAAGCCACCAAAGAAGTCTGTAATACAATCCAGGTAATCATTTGTTCTAATTTCTTTATCTACTGAATCAAAACCACTATAATAGTCATCTGATGAGAATGACGATGGTGATGATGATGATACTGGAGATGATGATGAAATGTTTTTATTGATGCTATTGTATGATTCCAATAATGGCACAAATGAATTAAAGAATACATCCCAGAGCATATTAACACTCTTTGGTACCAATACTATTAGATTTGTTAAAAGATTAATTGAGAGTCTAAAATCTTCTATTGATACAATGTTGCTAGTTGGTGATGGTTGTTTGGTTGAATTATTGATTGAAGATTTAATAGAGTTAATGACAATATCTCTAAGGTTATTTAAATGACCATCCAACATTCTTCCATTCATAAACTCATATGATAGAATATTATTCAACAAAAAGATACTTGTAAAAGATGGCACAGCGGTTTTAGGGTTGGTTAAATAATCTACTATTGACATAATAATTGAGGATCTTTTTTGTTCTGGATAATCTTTCAATATTGAATAGAATCCACTGTTTGGCGCTGAGTTTATTGTATTGCATGTACTTCTTGATGCACCATTCTTTAATAAAATATTTATAATGTTAAAAATTAAATTGATATCCCCTCTTAATAATTGGTTACTGATCATATCGACGGTATCGTTCAAAAATGAAATTTGGATGCAATATTCCAAAATACTTAATAAACAATTTTTTCCATTATTTAACCCTAATATCTATTAAATTTAATTAGCTTATATTAGTATTTAATTTACATTATTGTTTCAAGGTGTAATATGTAACTTACTGTTGGTACTCTTTCATTTAAATTAAATGATTTAATAACTTGTTTTAAATCTGACAATGATAGAACCTTTGGTAAATTTATAACAACTCTTTGGAAAATATCTATATATTCGGTAATTGATTCAATTCTGTTTGGTGAGAATAATTTAATAAAAATTGAATAATCTTTAAGACTATCTATATTTTCTATATCTTGATCTTTGTTTCTGTTGTTATTATTTTTGGTGATGATATTTAAATTCTTTGGTAAAAATGTATCTATTAAAAAGTATTGGTCCAAATTTTTATCAATAATTTGTTTACCAACGGTTAAGGCCAACTCTGTAAAGAATGGAATAAATATAGATTTGTGTATACTATCTTGATAATCTGACATTAATGAGATTAAATACTTGAAGAAATCTTCTTTTTGTTGCACATTTATAAATTGCATTATAAAAAATTCATCCTCCATAATACTAGATAAAATTGAAAGTTGATGAATCTTTTCAAAAAAGCTATAAAAATCTTCATTAAATAATCTTCTATTCTCTGCAATTTGTTTTGAAATTTCATCATTAATAGTTGTTTTACGAATTTTAACTGCAATATTAATGCCAATACAAGTTGGTGATGAACATTTAATATTTTCTTAAAATAAAAATATTAGTAAATAGTAAAAAAAATCTATTATATAAAAACAATAATAATAAAAATAATACTTACGATTGTGTTGAAGTGTTTCGGATGTATACAAATTTTCACTTTTTGTGAGAAAATCTTTATCTTCATTTAGAATTGATTTTGATAATGATTTGCTTTGACCTAAATATTGTCTTACATCCCTAAAAATCTTTAATGAATCGATGTTTCTTTCTTTATTTTCTAACAATGATTGCGAAATATTTTTACAAACTTCAATAAAACCATTATACTTTTCAAGCTCTTCTTTAATTCTTGATTGATTACTATTTGTGTTGGATTGTTGGTTTTTATTTACAAACAAAAATTTCGAAACTAACTCGTCAATTGGTAAGTTAATATTTTGATTTAATAGCCATCCTTTTTGTTTATTGTCATACTGTACTGTATTAATTGCATCAAAGAAACCGAATGAAACTTGTTGTTTAACCAAATTATATAAATCGGTGTTTTGTGGATGAATTAATCTTCTTTGGTATGGTAAATTGGATTGAAGGTTCCATGAATCGAATGTTTCGAATGTTCTTTTAATGACTGGTAAAATTGGGCCTTTGTGAATTAAAGATTCAATGTGATTATGCAACGAATGTTTAAAGTCTGAACCAAGTGAATCAATTCCTGAATGAACACCATCATAATAAATAATCCAAAATTGTTCCCAAAATATTAGACTGAGTGGCTCAGATTTAAAAAGCAATGCCAATTCTTTAAACAGTGACATTGCTTCTTTTCTAGATGACGATGAAACAATTTGTTTAGTTGACACCGATGCTCTTGCTAATGCATATGTTATCCATGGTTTACGAATTGCCATCATTCCCAGTTTCTTAGTTGATGGAACAATATTTGGTGAATCTAATAAAATAGCGTCAATAACGGTCTTCATCAAGTCACTGCCATTGTTGGAAACCAAATCATTTAAAGATTTAAAGAATACACCAGATACCATAAAATTTAAGATTGTTAAATTCTCCTCACCCATAAGATTTGACTTTAAAAAGTATACCCATGCACTAATATTAGTTTCTAAATTGTTGCCCCTTTCAAGAATGGTATTTTGTTGTTGTGCAAGATGCGGTAGGAACCATGATCTCATTACACCAATTAAAACATTGAGGCCTGGAGAAAAATCATTTCTAGATTGAGTAATAAGATGAAATAATATATTAAACTCTTGTTGGATAATAAATGGAGTTGTTCTGAATATAAATACAACACTGCATAATATAATTGATGAGTATTCAAAATTGTTGCCACAGACTCTGGTAATTTTTGAAATGATTCTGCTAAGAATATCATAGGCTTCTTGAATATTTCCTTCCTTTTCTACAAATGAATTTGCCATTTGTAATTGCATTAAAATTTGAATGAATTCAAATAAACCATTGTCATGTGGGAAATCGATTGTATGTGGCTCTATTCTAATAATTTGTTCAATTATAGAGTTATTTGTATCTCTTGATAACAAAAGCTTGGAATTTAATAAAAAGTTTACAGTCCAATTATTATTTTGTTGTGGATGTTGATTTAAAATATTTGATTGTGGCGATAGATATTTACGAGCTCCAATTAAGAATAATGCAACTTTTAGACGCGAAATAGGAGTAACTCTATCCCAATTGGTATTATAAAATATTTTTTGAACTACTGTTGATGCAATTGAAATATTATTGGGTGTTAATTGAAATTGTGGAATATTATTGTTTGGATCTGGGAATAAAAGAGGACCAATTACAAGATTACATAAATTATCGATTTGAACAAACTCGCTGTCGTTTAACATTGGAATTTGGTTGTGTGTTAAAATCAAACCTAACCAATAAATCCCATCTCCAGACATATCCCAAAAGTACAATGGATTGTTAAAACTATTATGTGATGACTGTTGATATTTGAGTGGATCGACTTTGACTGGTTCAATAAATTGATAGAATGCCTCAAGATCCAAATATAATAAATTCTGAGATATATTAAACATGAATCTATTTACTAAATGTGGTGATGTTTGTAAGAGTATAAAAAGTTGGTTATAAATTTCTGATTTGAAAATTGGCCACATTCCTTGAATTAAATTTGCGGTACTAGAGTCAACGCCACCACCACTTAAAAAGTTTTGAGGTCTAGATACAAATGCAAAATAAAACAATTCATCCAATATCAATCTTGACAAATCATACTTTAAGCCACCATCGCTTACCATTTGATTTGAATCAGTTTTACCTGAAGACTGAGCAATTCTACGGAGCAATACTAATTGTGGGAACTTGGTGCTATTATTTAAAACTGCAACGGTTGGATCACTTTGATAAATATTTTCGACCAAATATTGATATCTAAATATAGTATGAAAGAATTGATTTCTTGAGTGCAACTTATCATTAAAACTTCGGTTAAAGTAATTTGATGGGGTAATAGTTAATTGGTAAATATCACAAAATATGCCACCCAGTAAATTTAAATCTACCAAATTGTTCCAATTTAATAATGGGACAACAGTTGTTGCAATCAATTGTGCAGGCCAAACTGATTTAAACAGTGTATTTAAACTTGCTAAATAAAATCCATTATTAAAATATGTTAAAACCTATATAATAAAAATAGATATAAAAATTATTAATATACGTTAAAGCAAAGATCCCTATAAATATAAAAATACTTACACAAAATATTTTTGAAATTAAAATTGATAATCTTAACATATTTTTTGAAATTGAAAAATTTAGACCTTTTCTAAGGGGCTCTAAAAGTTTTTCGTTGACGTCATAATTTGTTAAATATGAATCTGGTATATTTGTGAAATCGATTTGCATTAAAATATTGGTATATTGGGTTTCATTCAAAGTTGGTTTAAAATTTGGCTCTTCGTGGTGATAGAATAATTTTATTAACCAGTCACTTTCGAAGATATCTCTAAAACTTGGATGTACTAATGAGTAGCCCCATTCTAAAAACTGTGGATCAAAATTCTCTTTGAGGGATAGTAGAAAACTTTCAATATCACTATTTAAACCATTATTTTCATGGGGGTTGCTATCTTCATCAAGAGTAAATAAATCATTAATAAGAAGGTTACTGTTTCTGGTACCTTTATTTCCTGTTGATTTCTCTGAATATTTGAATAATAACATTGAAATTTGATTGACTATAGTTTGCAATTGATCCGGTAACTTTACTTGGTTGAAAACTTTTATAACCGACTTTAAAATATTTACAATAATTTGAAGCTTGTCCAAGTAAAAACCTTTATTCCCGATGCCACTGTTACTTTCACTATCACCCATAGACTCTATGTATTCTGTCAAATTATTTATATCTAAATTTTTGTATATATAATAATTTATTCTTAATTCGTTTAATGCTTTTGAAAAAAATCCAGCAATAACCTCGCTTGTATTATAACTATGATTTTGATTTAATAATGTCTTGAGCTGTCTAGCAATACCTTCGTTAATTGAATAATATTGATTTTTTATAGTCTTTTTGCACAATGAACCACATGGGCAATAATCTTGAACTGGTGTTGAATCGTCACGAAGTTCCCACAATTTTTTATAAAGCTCTCTTATTTCCAATTCATTTTTTTGTTTTTCTGATTGAATTGCTTCGTTTACAACGGTTGAATCTAATAGTTCATTTAAAAGGTTTTCGAATTTTCCTATTAAAAAATCACTATTTTGTGGTTGTTTTTTTTGTTGTTGCTGTTTTTGTGGTTGTGGTTGTGGTTGTGGTGGGGCTTGTGACGATAATAAAAACTCGATATTGTCAAATGGATTTAATTTTCTACCTGTATTTGGTGAGTGAGAAGGTTGCTGATCTAAATGTGGTGATTGGTGTTGTGGTAATTGTGGTTGTGGTGATTGATGGGATTGTAATAAATCGGTATTGAATATATTATTGTTGTTATTGTTATTATAATTAGTTGTGAAAAAATCTTGTTCAAATAAAAATGGGTTATTATTACTATTATTGTTATTATTGCTACTATTGTTATTTATGCCATTATTGTCGTTGTTAAAACTATTATTTGAAACAGTGTTTGGATTTGATTTAGGGCTAAATGGATCAAAATCAAATTCCAGATTATTGTTATTGTTATTGTTATTATTATTATTATTATTGTACATTTTATTTTACTTTTTATAATAAAAAATAAAATAAATAAAAAAGTAATGCGGAATGGATAAAAAAAAAAAAAAAGGGTAATGAAACAAAATAAAAAAAAAAAAATTAATTTAAAAATTTGATAATTTAAAAAAAAAAAAAAATTTAAATTTTTATTTTAAAAAATAAAAATAAAAAAGGAAATTAAGTCTTTCAAAAAAAAAAATTTATATATTAAATATATTGAATCAATTTAAATATAAATAGATGTAGTTATTTCTTGATATTGTTTTTTTATATGATATTGTTATTACTATCTTTATAAAATAAAAAAAAAAGATTTTTTTTTATTTTTTTTTTTAAAAAAATTAAATTTTTTATATTTTTTTTTTTTTAAAATTTTTTGTTATTTTTTTTAATTTTTTATAAATAAAACAAAATCATTTCTTTTTATCATTTGTTTAATCTATTTTCTTTTTTAAATTTTTTTTTTATTTTATAAAAAATAAACCAAACAATTGTTTTTTTTCAACAATATAAAAAAATATATTGTTTTTTAATTTATATTTTTTATTTATATAAACATTAAATAAATAATATCAATAACAATATCATTATCATTATCATTATCATTATTAATATCAATATCAGTATCAGTTTCAGCTTCAGTATCAATAACAATAAAAAATGACGACCAATAACCCACTTATACCAAATGAACACCCAGAGATATCAAATATAATTAATAATTTACAAAATAAAAAGATATTAGATTTAAAAGTATTTCTTGAAAATACTAAACAGTTTAGCGATTTTAGAAAACATTTAATAGAAAAGAATAAATACTCATTGGCATCAATGTTACAATGCTACGAATCAATCCAATCATTTAAACAATCATTTTTAGTCGATAACCCACCTTTCAATCTTAAATTAGCAAATGATATCATTTCCACATTTTTAGTTAAACCTGGCAGCATATCACCAAACTCTAGTTCAATTTTAACAAACCCTCCAGCAACCAATAATAGCAACCCATTATCAAACTCAAGCTCAAGTATTTCACCACCACCCTCAACTTCATTTTATATTGGATTTATTGATGCCAGCGTATATAATAGTTTAAAAATTTTATTAGATCCCCTTTGGCAAAAACCAAGCAACAGTACTCCAACAACTCCATTATCAGTATCAACAAACGCTACATCAACAACAAGTGGTCTTAATACAAGTGGTTCACTTTTTGATTCATCACCATTGGGTGGTGGTTTATTTCAAGATGATGATTCAGGTTTATTTGGTGAGAGTGACAGTAATAGCAATAACAATAGTAATAGTAATGATAATAATACCACCACAAGTGATAATATCAATAATAGTATTGCTGATAACAAATTAGACACATCAATAGAAGATCCAGAGGAACCTACCAAAGAACAAAAAAAGAAACAAAAAGAAATTAAAGATGATTTATCATCACACGTAACACATAACCTTTTTGATGTATTACAAGAATTTTTACTCTTCAAATTAGAAAATGAATACAAAAAATATATAAACTCAATCGTAAGTAATTTAGAACCATTGGTTTTTTTTGTTTCTTTGTTTCTTCTTTTTTTTTTATATTTTCGTCTGGTAAAAAAAATTAAAAAAAAATAAAAAAAATAAAAAAAATAAAAATTTTTTATTAAATTAAAAAATAAAATTTAAAAACGTATATTAACAACTTTCTTTTTTTTTTTTAATAAAATAATAATTTTATATCATATAAATATATTAGACAAACAATCAAATGACAGAAGTTTTAGATTCACCATTAACACCACAAAAAAATGATAAAGAAGACTCGATGAAATATTATATTAATAATCACCAACACCAACCAACAAATGTAGCAAACTTTAATAAATTAGAAGGCGAGAAAAATATTGTATGGTTTAATGACCAGGAATGTATGCCAGTATATTATATGGACTATATAACAGGAGAAACTATACCATCATTATTATATATAACAATTTTTAGATTTGTATTTGTCAACAAACTCACTTATAACGAACTATCATCAATACCACTAGCAACCGTTTATCGTGTCGATAAGGTTAATAATTTCAAAGTCGATTCTACTATATGTATATGGGGCAAAAATTTTAGAAGAATTGAATTTTTTGTATCCCAAAAAGATTTTTCAATACAACAACAACAGCAACTAATTTATGGTACTAATCATCACTATCACCATAGCTCATCAGATAACATGGATATCATTATGCCAATTATAACTAGAATGAGACAATTTGCTTTTCAAGATGTTCCAAATTTATTTGCTTTTAAATATTCCCCAAATAAACAAAAAATGCCAGATGGGTGGCGTGTCCATAGTGACTTTAAAGATTTTATGCGACAGGGTATTCTTTCAGAGGCACCAGGATCAAATAATAAATGGCGTTATTCAGATGTTAATATAGAACATGTCAATCCAACCTATCCAACACTTTTAGTGGTCCCACACAATATCAACGATGATGAAGTCCGTACCTGCATGAACTTTAGATCAAAAGGTCGTATTCCAGCCTTATCATGGATCAGTAGGGATGGTGTACCATTGGCTCGTTCATCCCAACCAATGGTTGGTATTACCAGGCAAAAATGCTCGGTTGATGAAAAATTAGTGGATGCTATCCGTTTAGCATGCCCAACAAAAAAATCCCTTTATCTCTTGGATGCACGTCCAAAAGCCAATGCTATTGCAAATGTTGCCAAAGGTATGGGTTATGAATTAAACTATAACTGTGATATAGAGTTCCTTGGAATTGCAAATATTCACTCTATGAGAGACTCTATTAACAAATTGGAATCATTTGTTCAATCAAACAATGATGAAAATTGGTTAAGTGGTCTCAATGAAACCAAATGGTTGGATCATGTACGTACTGTTCTTTTAGGTGTATCTAGGGCCTGTCTTTTAATAAACTATGGCCATCCAGTTTTATTACATTGTTCCGATGGCTGGGATCGTACTGCTCAACTTACATCACTAACTATGATGATACAAGACCCATACTACCGTACAATTGAAGGTCTTCAGGTTTTAATCGAAAAGGAATGGCTTTCATTTGGTCACTGTTTCATGAACCGTGTTAGACATGGTGACCGTAACTGCTACTCTGATAGCCAAAGATCCCCAATTTTCCTTCAATTCATCGATTGCGTTTTTCAATTAATGAACCAATACTATGATTACTTTGAATTCAACGAAAACTATTTAATTACAATTTTGGACGCTCTTTACTCATGTCAATTCGGTACCTTCCTTTGCAACAATGATAAAGAAAGATCCGCCATCAAAAAAGATACTGTGTCACTATGGAGTGTCATTAACTCCAATCCATTAGATCCCTTCAAAAACCCATTCTATAACAACAAGTCTCTCAAACCATACCACTTGCCAGAATGGAGAAGCGAACATATTGTTCTTTGGAAGAATTATTATTTAAGATATTGGAGAAACCCAATAAAAGAACCAATGAACTATCAAAATATTGCAATTTCGTTAAAATTAAAAAATGATGACTTATTAAAACAAATTCAAAGTTTATTAAATCAAAATTTTGAATTATCTAAAAAACTAGAAGATAATAATCAAACAAATAGTAATAATGAAAATAATAATGGCAATATTGATAATGAAAATAATAATAACGATAGCAACAATAATGATGAAAACAGTAACGAAAATAATAACAATGTGATCGAAAATAATTTAAATAATTTAAATTTAGATAACTCCCAAGAATAAAAAGAAAACATATAAAAAAAACATATAAATATTTTATAAAAAAAAAAAATTTTAACAACACAATTCCTTCTATACAATTATTTTTTTATTTTTTTTTATTTTTTATTTAAGATTTAATAATAAAAACAAAATTTGGTATTACCATATAAATAGATTATTGAAACAAATAATAAAGAAGAATTAGAAATTAGAAATAAAGATTGAAAAAAATAGTTTTTTTAAAAAAAAAGTTTTTTCTTTAATGATGATTTTGATATAATTTTAATAATAATTTAGTTTTGAGCAATTCTGGCTTCTCTTTGGGTCCAATATAAATCTTGGAATTTCCATCTATAACCATGGGCGGCATCATCAACTTTTTTAAAGTGAACAGTTTCCCATTCTTTATTTTCGGCAACTCTATTTCTTTTATCTTCTCTTTGTTTTTCTTCAAGATTTTGTTTTTCTTTGGCAGCAAGATCTAAATCACCGGCTTCAAGAGCAATACGATCTGTTCTAAGACGTGAATCGGTTGGTGGTAAAATCTTTCTATATTCATCATTGAGATCGATAACGTTTTGTTCGACCCATTTTGGGAATAAGAATTTATTGGTAATTGGTTCTTTGCTGGCTTCCCAAAGAGTGGTTGAAGTGGTTGAGGATGAACCATTGTCCATAACTTGGAATAATTGAAGGCTTTCATTCCATTTACCAGAGAGTCTATATCTAACATCATCTTCTGAATCTAAAATTTCACCAGTGACAGTGTAACGACCAGCACCTAACCAACCAGATTTGGCGAATTTGAGGACACATTTGCTACCAGTGGTGTGATTGGTAATGACTAAATCACCGTAATGATCTAACCATAATGAACCAATAATAATATTGTGACAACAGGTAACTAAATGGTTCCAAGTGTAGTGATCACCTGTTTTTTTATTGATAAAATGATTAACACCTTCAATTTCGACTTCTGAGCTGTTACCGTAGAATTTGGATTTTAATTCAGTTTCTAATTGAAGAATATAACTGTCAGAGGTGGTTTCTGAAACACCAATTGGTGGATGATGGCTAACTTGTTCGGCAATGAATTTGAATTCACCGTTTTTATCAACAATTTCAAAAGTTTCACCTAAAATTGGATTGAATGGTTTTCCTAAAATAAAAAAAAAAGGTTTTAGTATGGGGTGGTTTATTGTTAAATTTTATATAAAAACTTACTGGTTCTAATGGCAGTTGAATATAAAGCACAGTTGAATGCAGCTAAATAAGCTAAACATAAAAATTCGCTATCTTGTTTGGTAGCTTTGTTTAATAATTCGTTATATTGTAATGGTTCAGACATAACTTGAAGGAAAGATACTGGTTCGAAAATCCAGACTGGTAATGAAATTAATGAAGTAATATCTTTACCAATATATGAAGATAATTGTTTGAGTAAACCCTTTCTTTGTTCTGGTTCAATGTTACCTTCTTTGTTTTCACCACCGGCCTCTTCGACTTGTAAGTTTTCGGTACCACCTACAAGACCTTTCATATAATTTGTGAATCCTGAAAACATCTTTTTTTCTTCTTTATCTAATAATTATTGAGTTGAAAAAAAAATATATATAAAAAATTATTTGTTTTACTGTAATTTAATTTGTTTAAATTTGATATATTAAAAAAAAAAAAAATTAATTAATTAATTAATATATATTTATTAAATTTTAATTTTAATGATATGTGAAAGTTTAAATTATGATAACAAACAAAAAAAATCAAAACAAATTGAAAAAAAATAATAAAAAAATAAAAAAAAAAAAAATAATAAAATTGTCAAGAAAAAAAAAAAAAACAAAAAAATTTATAAAAAATAATAATTAAAAAAAAAGTTTCTTTACAAACTCGACAGAGGCAACCTTTTTTTTTAAAAAAAAAAAAAAAGTGTCACGTGATTGAAAGAAATCCGTTAAGGTGCACCTTATGGAGTTGGTATTACAAAGTGATATTCTTGCGCACAATGAAAAAAAAAATATGTATATATCTGTATGTTATTTCGTTGTTTTTTTTTTTTTTTAAATAAAATAAATTTAATGATATACCTTTAAAATTTATTGTACAAAATAAAAAAAACTATGTTGGTACTATTATAAGTTTATTATTATGTGTTGTTATAAAAATTTGTTATTCGCAATATTAAAAATAATACTAATAATAATAAATAAAATAAAAATAAAATTTTAAAAAAAAAATAATAATTTTTAAAAAAAAAAAAAATTATTAAAAAAAAAAAAATAAAATAAATTATATTTAAAATTTTATTGATTTTTATCTCTATATAAATAAAAAGTATATTACCTGTTATCTATTGTTAATAGCTAAAAATATAGGGTTGTATATTATTACAAATATAATATTATAAATTATAAAAAAAAAAAAATAAAAGAAATAAACTAAAATAAAATTTTAAAATGTTAAAGAAAAGAAAAAAAAAAAAAAAAAAAATAACGGTTAACAGGTGCTGTTTCAATATATATAAATTAATTTAAATTTTAATTTTTTTTTAATTTTTTAATTATTTTATTTTTTAATTATTTTTTTTAAAATTTTTTTTGGCAAATATTAATTCTTTTATTTGAAAAAAATATTTTTTTTACCACACCCAAATATTTTCTTTATTTTACTTTTATAGGTTATAAATATTAAAATCAAATCAAATCAATTGGATATTTCGAAATTCTTTTGATTACAATTTAAATGATTGTTTTTTTATCATTGTCATTCACAATAATAAAAGAAAAAATATTATTAAACAAAATATAAAATAATAATCTATTTTTTTTTCAGAAAATTGGCAATCAAAGGAGGAAAATTAAAATGGTTTTTATATTATAAAATTATTTACAGATAAATTAATTTTTAAATAAAGTTTTATTATTAAAAACTATTTTGTTTTTTATATTTAGTGATATTAATCTAAAAAACTTAACAATTTATTTTTTTATTTTTTTTTATTAAATTATTTATTTGTAATATATATTATTTTATTTTTTAAAGTTTAATTTTGGCTGGTTTATCTTTTGGTTTGATGAATAAAACAATGGCTGATAATATTGCCATGATGAAGATTGCGAAAATATAAACAAGCCAGAACCATTTTAGAATCTTGAGATTACGAACAGCTGTTTCAAAGAGTGAGTTAATAGCTGTGGTTGAAGTATATTGGGAGAATGCCATTGTACAGAACTGAGTAACTGAAACAGATGTTATTAAAATCAAACCAACGTTGAAAAGGAATGCATTCATCATAGTACCACCGACCCTCATTGGATGAATTGGGAAGAGGAAGAATAAACGTAAACCAAATTTGAAATTACCTTTGATTACACAGAATAATAAATAGAATGAAAGAAGACCATATACAATGGTACCTAAGAAACTCCAGGCATCATCGAGTGCCATTACCAATGAGTTGAGGAATGGGTGGAATGGTTCTGGTTGGGTAATCATATAGATGATAATATGAAGTAACCATGCTAAAGATATTACTAGGCAAACGAAACCACCGATGAATTGTGCATAATATAAAATAACTTTACCACCTTGTCTTTTGTATGAGATTTTAAGACGCTCATAATCTTCTTCAAGCAAAAAGACTGATTGACGGAAACGATTATAGTTTCTTCTATCACGTTTACTCATGATACCACCTGGTGAACGGGCATGAATGGTTCTTCCGATTTCTAAAAGCTCAATTGAACGGTCTCCAATCTTTTTCTTTCTTTCCAAATATTTATCATATGGGATTCTTTGTGGACGATTCTTGAAATCTGCAATCATATCGAATGGAAGTGCTACAATACCAATACCACCAAAGATAATGAATAATAACCAACCAAAGAAAGCAACCATTGTAATGATGAATAATGCAATACTGACACGGAATTGAAGGAACTCTTTATTTGAACGATATTCTATATAACCTGTACCATCTCCCGCCTTTGTGGAATTTTTGAATGCATTTAAAACTGTGCTATCTGTAGAAGCTGTACCCAGTATAAAAGCATATTTTGATGTGGCAATATTAATTGGTTTTCCTTCTGCATCAAGTGGTGGATCTTTGATTTTGAATCTAATTAATACATTTATAGTTGGTACCTCTGCAACACCAAAGAATACATATAATAAAATTGTAAGTGCAACAAAAACAAACATAATAGCAATTGTACCTTTTAATGCACCACCTAATTGACTACCACTACCTGGATCTGCTTCTTCTGATTCATAAAAGAACATTGCAAATGGACAAATTACGATTGCAAAACAACCAGTAATAATATAAACAACAATCCAAAGTGTCTCCATAGGGAACCCACCTTGTCCACCATTATTCGCCACATCCAATGGCAACATTAAAACACTAACTGCTGCCAAAGTTATCCCTAAAATCTAATTATTAAATAAATAATTTTATTAATAATTATTCACTATTTTTTTTTGCACTATAATAATAAAATGAATACTTACAACTATTCCTTTCGGGAAATATGCTACATTTTTATCGTCTGGGTGTTGAAAGTATACAATTAAATAAAGACTCCCCAACGCTACGAGTGCTGGTATAACAACAGCAACAATAATTAAGAATATATTAACCATTCTTAATATTTTTTATTTTTTTTTTATTTTTTTTTAGTTTTATATATACACAATTTTTATTCGATAACTAAAAAAAACTAAATAATTGTTTATTATTAATATGATGTTTTATATAAATAAATTAAAAAATAATAATAAAGGGTGAATATATTTTTTTAAAAAAAAATAAAAATAAAAATAAATTTAAAAATAAATACACCAATAAATTTTAAAAAAAAAAAAACTGATTGTATTTATACACCACATTAAAATGTAAACCTATTTATTTATTAAAAAAAATAATAAAAAAATATTAATTTTAAAATATAAATATTAATTTATAAAAAAAAACCAACTTTTTGACAATTTAAGAAAAAAAAAATACCATTTTAATTTTATAATTTTTATAAGAATATGAAATTTTAATAAATCATAACTTTGAATTATTTCAAAACAGCTCTAAATTAGGGGAATAAAACAAACTATAAATAAATAAAAATTATATATAAATCTAGTTTTATAAATAAAATTTTTTTAGTTATTTTTTTTTAATTAAATTATTATTTTTTTATTTTTTTTTTTATTTTTTATTTTTTTAAATTATTTATTTGTAATATATATTATTTTATTTTTTAAAGTTTAATTTTAGCTGGTTTATCTTTTGGTTTGATGAATAAAACAATGGCTGATAATACTGCCATGATGAAGATTGCGAAAATATAAACAAGCCAGAACCATTTTAGAATCTTGAGATTACGAACAGCTGTTTCAAAGAGTGAGTTAATAGCTGTGGTTGAGGTATATTGGGAGAATGCCATTGTACAGAACTGGGTAACTGAAACGGTGGTAATTAAAATCAAACCAACGTTGAAAAGGAATGCATTCATCATAGTACCACCGACCCTCATTGGATGAATTGGGAAGAGGAAGAATAAACGTAAACCAAATTTGAAATTACCTTTGATTACACAGAATAATAAATAGAATGAAAGAAGACCGTAAGCAATGGTACCTAAGAAACTCCAGGCATCATCGAGTGCCATTACCAATGAGTTGAGGAATGGGTGGAATGGTTCTGGTTGGGTAATCATATAGATGATAATGTGGAGGAGCCAGCCTAATGAAACACCTAAACAAACAAAACCACCGATGAATTGTGCATAATATAAAATAACTTTACCACCTTGTCTTTTGTATGAGATTTTAAGACGAGCATAATCTTCTTCGAGTAAAAAGACTGCTTGACGGAAACGATTGTAGTTTCTTCTATCACGTTTACTCATGATACCACCTGGTGAACGGGCTTGAATGGTTCTTCCGATTTCTAAAAGCTCAACTGAACGATCTCCAATCTTTTTCTTTCTTTCCAAATATTTATCATATGAAATACGTTGTGGACGATTCTTGAAATCTGCAATCATATCGAATGGAAGTGCTACAATACCAATACCACCAAAGATAATGAATAATAACCAACCAAAGAAAGCAACCATTGTAATGATGAATAATGCAATACTGACACGGAATTGAAGATAATCTTTTCTTGAACGATATTCGAGGTAATTTGTACCTAAACCTGGTATAGTTGAGTTCTTGTATTTGTCTAATGAACCTTTATCTGTTGCATCTGGACCCAAAATGAGTAAAAGTGGATAAATTTCTGATGCCTTATCATCGCCATCAATAACTGTTTGGAAATCAGCAGCTACGTAAGGAGTGTTATCACTTTTAAGTGGGTAGTCCTTAACTTTGAATCTTAATAAAACAGTAATAGTTGGAACTTCTGCAACACCAAAGAATACATATAATAAAATTGTAAGTGCAACAAAAACAAACATAATAGCAATTGTACCTTTTAATGCACCTCCTAATTGACTACCACTACCTGGATCTGCTTCTTCTGATTCATAAAAGAACATTGCAAATGGACAAATTACGATTGCAAAACAACCAGTTGCAATATAAACAACAATCCAAAGTGTATCCATAGGGAACCCACCTTGTCCACCATTATTCGCCACATCCAATGGCAACATTAATACAGCGACTGATGCTAAAGTTAACCCTAAAATCTATATAAAATAATTTTAATAAAATTAGATTATCAATATTAATTTAATTTAATTTTAACACATCCCAACTATTATTTCTATTATCATTATTTTGATTATTATTATTATTATTATTATTATTATTGAATTACTTACAACTATAACTTTCGGGAAATAGGCAACATTTTTATCATCTGGATGTTGGAAGTATACAATTAAATACAAACCTCCTAATGCTACAAGTGCTGGAATAACAACAGCAACAATAATTAAGAAGATATTAACCATTTCTTCTTGTATATATTTTGTTTATTATTTTTTATATTTTTTTTTCGAAGGATTATTAATAATACAATTTTTTCGATTATGAAAAAAAAAAAATAAAAATAATATCTAAAACAATAGTATATTTGTTAATCTATTATTATTATTATTTTATATATGTTAATTATACAAAAATTGATTTCTTGAATATATTAAAACACACCACAAAAAACAAATACCACACCACAAATATATAAATTTTTTTTTAAAAAAAAAAATAAAAACAAAACAAAACCAGAAATAACAATAAAAAAGTGATCTAAGATAATATATAAAATTAAAATATTTTATATAAGTATTTAGAGTTTATATAATGCGATTGTTTATATAAAAAAAAATTTAACGAAATAAAAAAAAAAAACATAAAAAATTTTAATAAAAAAATTTTAAAAAATTTTAAAAAAAAAAAAAAAAATAAAATTAATTTTTTTTTTTTTGATAACTTTTTTGGCACACCATGTGACAAATGCGTTGCAACGTCGCACTTATTCCATAATATGGTTTGATGTGTTTTCATAGAATTTGATTTCATACAAATGAAAAGGAGATGTGTCAAAAAAGAAATCATAAAACATTATTTTAATTAAACATTGGTATCAACTAAGCCTTATTTCATTTTTATTTTTACTTTAAATTTTTTTTTTATATTATTTATCATTATCATGAAACTAAACAAAAAAGTAATGAAGTATACATATAGCAACCAAAATGGTTAGTTGGGTGCTCATTTATAACTTATTTTATGGCTTTATTAACACCACACTTTTTCTTGAACATTTAAAAAATAAAAAAAAAAAATTTATTGGAAAAATTTTAAAATAAAACAGG